GTGAAATTATCACCGACTCCTCTGTGGTTCCAGTAAAAAGAGGAGCAGCTTCAGTAGTGTGGAATAAAGTGTGACGTCCTGAATGTTTTCCTTCTCTTAGCGCTCAGAGGGAACTCATTCAGCGGCTCCTCTGGCAGCAGCACAGCGTCTCTCCCTCTCCTCTCTGATTCTGTCACAAACCTTTGATGATGAAAACCTACATGAATAAACTCCATATATGTGACTGTGTCATAACAGCCTGTCACAGGTTACAGCCTGATGGTTAGAGGAGAAATGGCAGAGCATAAATAAAGAGAAGGAAATCAGCTGTTGATTTATATATAAATAGATCCCAGGGGACATTTGTTTAAATGTGTAATTAGTGGTAGATTTGATTTAGTTGAACTCTTAATATTGTGACAGGATCTGAATCTGACTCTGAGTTACTGTTGTTGTTCACAAACTGAAGACATGAAACATCATTTTAGTTTTCACTGAAGATTTGAAGCAAACTGTGAAACTATCACTGATTTTGTTGCAACTCTACGTTCTTAAATTAAAAATAAATTATTGTTTAACTAATTTGTCAAGAATATCGTTATTGCAAAAATACTTGTCATCGATATCAGCTTTAAAATGAATAACATGCTTTTTCTTAGTTTGCACAATGAATGAATATCACAGACACTGGAAAGTATTTCATGCCTCCATCTGCTGGTGGGCCGTCATGATAATGATGAGTATGCCTACATAATATGATGTTAACTCACTACAGAAGAGACTTGATGATCACTAAAATTAGGTGGAGAAAGATGTGGATATATTGATATTGGTATCAGCTAAATAAGTTGTTATGTGTTGGCATATCAGATATCGGCCAAAAATCCGATATGGTGCATCGTTACAAAAATAGATAAATAAATAAAAGTGGTCTGTGCAGGTCTCAGAGCTCAACTCAACCACCTGACCCACTTTCCATTATGCAATAAAAGGTCACCTGCAGTATCCTGCAGCTGAGTCAATGCTCTCTCTATCAAAAAGCTGTGTACACCTCAGCTGATTGTATTAATGACACAGTCAGCCCTCTGCCAGAAAACCCAAACTGGACACACTGGAGTCCAGTGATGTCACCTCTCGAAACGGTGGTTAAACAGTGACGGTAAATTTTGTGTGATATTAACAGCCGTGTTGCCACTCTGAGGAAACACTGCCTGAAGAGCAGATCTGTGGTAGGCATTCCTTCTCTCTGTCTACCCACCACATACAAATTTGGAGTGGGTAATGTTGCCATAGCAACAGCAGCCTCTCCAATTAAAGCTTTTAGGTGGAGATGTATTTCAAAAAGGGACTCGAAAATAAATCACCATTTGCTAACAGAGAAGTTGTGTCAGATTGACTCACGGCTTCTGCGTAACATGTATGGACGTCAGACAACCTGATGGCTCGCAGCGAGTGTGCCTTACACTGTTAAAGGAGCAGTAATGTCAGCTGTGTTGTTGGCCTGTGGTAAGTGGAGTCACAAAGAGAGGGACATGCAGACAGACAGATATATGACCATCCACACTTCACTGCTCGCACTCTCTGAAGCTAAATATGGAGGAGTGCTGCACTAATTGTATGTCAGCGCTGATGTCTGTGCATGTCCATCATGGACATGGACAGCTGGACACACACCCGGGCATGGACAGCTGAACACACACATTCAGATAGAAGTTTGCTGTGTGCTGCAGACCACTCTGTACTTCTATAGTCTTTAAACAACAAAACATGGTTACGTACCAGTACCTCACCTTTCAGTATATTTAGTTATAAATGTTTGTATTGTTTTCATAACTATGTGGTGACAATGCATCACTGCCTGGGTCATGTTCACAGATGTTTCTTTGAGTTAATGAACCACTACATTTATGTAACTTAAGCCTATGTACAGTCAGACAGAGACAAATCGTAAATGCAGTGTCCTCCTTCTAGTAAACAGAATATTAGACTCATCAATATAAAACAATGTCAACAGTAGGTCAAGACAGAGCTGGGTTATCAGCCAAGTACGCAGAGGTGGAAGAAATCCTCCGAACTTTTACTGTCACAAGTCAAAGTCCTGCACTCCAAGCCATACTATTGTAGAGGTATCGGAATATATTTAAAGTACAGAAAGTACCCGTCATGCAGAACTGTCAGAAGAGTATAAATTACTGGGTTATAATCATCGATGCAGCGCGTTTGCGTTGCAGTTGGTCAGGCTGGCCTCAGAAGCTCTATGTTTTCCTCTAAAAAGTAATGCGCCCGAATTAATAAGCATCCCACGTCTTCTGAAAGGTCGCAGTCACGTGATCAGTCACGTGCTGAAGGGAGTAAAGAAGGTAGTGGTCTTGAGAGGAGGCAGATGGGGGTGGTGGTTGGTTCACAAAAATGCAGTCTTTCCCCTGGAGACGCGTTTGGATCCGTGTGAACTAAGAGTCACAATGCCTGCGCCTAACCACAGTAACTTTAGTTGTCTGAACGTAACCTCCCTAACTTTACGTTAATCATGTAACTGTACGGTAAGGATGTAACGTCCTCCATGTGACGCTAATTTGTGTCTGCATTTTTGTAGGATATCTATCATATGAGCCGTTCTATGAGGATACGTTGAGCTGGTAAAGGTGGAGCTCATTTCAGTTACTTTATATATTGCTGGTAGTTTAATCTATAATAATTAATTTTGTTGATTTAATAATCTAAATCTGTAAAGTAACGTGGAGCTAAAGCTGTCAGATAAATGTAATCAGGTAAAGAAGTGCAGTATTTGCCTCTGAGGTTTACCCCAGAGTTGTACCTAAGTACAGTACTTGACTTAATGTGATTAGTTACATTACACCTCTGCAACTATGCCTGCATTCACAGCGGCAACACGAGAAGATCAGTCTTTTTAATTAATGCGAACATCCTGTTTCCAACTGGCACATTTCCTCTGGTTGTCAGTAGTGATGGCCAAATGAAGCCTCATGAAGCATTTTATTTATTTTCTGAGCCCACTAGATGGCGTATTTTGTTCAACAAAAGGTTGAAAGCACACTGACTTGCCATTCTTTGAGCCTCTCTCTTTAAACCATGAGCCTAAATGATTGCCATTCCATGTTTTCCTCTTGTCCATGTATTTTAAAATATTAAACTAATATCCCGGTGTCGCATTGTTGCAGATTTGATCTTATGATCAGTTAGAATGAGCCTTCATGAATAAAAAGAGAAGGTTATTGTTGGTAGGACAAATGTTTTATTACTTTAATTGAAACCATTTTGTTCATGGAAGTTTGTGTAAAAAGTCTCCCCTCAGAAAATACCTCTAATAACAGGCACATTCTCATGTTCTTAAACAAGTGTAGACGGTATGATAACTGCAAACTTGTCACGGTATACATTGAAACCAGGATATTGCTGCAACTCTAGACTCTATACATGCAGATGAATTCAGCTCCCAATCACATTATCTGGGTGAGTTAGTCCAACTTTGAGAGATTCCATTTAGTAAGATTTCAGTCCAACTAACATGTTTACATGTTAGTCAGCGGCTGCGGTGGAGAGCTCCGCCTCCCCCTCATGTCATTCTAACACATACAGGAGTCTGTAAGGTGGAGTATTTACTGGGATTTTCAGCACAACCATCTCTAGGGTTTACAGAGGATGGTCCCAAAAAGAGCAAATATCCAGTGAGCCAAAATGACTTGTTGATGCCAGAGGTCAGAGGAGAATGGCCAGACTGGTTCAAGATGATAGAAAGGCAACAGGAAGTCAAATAAGCACTGGTTCCAACCAAGGTGTGCAGAAGAGCATCTCTGAAGCAACAACACCTTGTCCAACCTTGAAGCAGATGGGCTACAGCAGCAGAAGACCACACCAGGTGCCACTCCTGTCAGCTAACAACAGGAAACTGAGGCTACAATTCACCAAAACTGGACAATAGAAGATTGGAAAAACCACATTCAGATGGAAGCATGGATCCATCCTGCCTTGTATCAACGCTTCAGGCTGCTGCTGGTGGTGTAATGGTGTGGGGGAGATTTTCTTAGAACCAACTGAGCATGGTTTAAACACCACAGCCTACCTGAGTATTGTTGCTGAGCGTGTCCATCCCTTTATGACCACAGTGTACCCATCTTCTGATGGCTACTTCCAGCAGGATAACGCACCATGTCACAAAGCTCACATCATCTCAAACATGACAATGAGTTCACTGTACTCCAATGGCCTCCACAGTCACCAGATCTCAGTCCAATAGAGCACCTTTGGGATGTGCTGGAACGGGAGATTCTCATCATGGATCAACTGTGTGATGTCATCATGTCAATATGGACCAACATCTCTGAGGAATGTTTCCAGCTCCTTGTTGAATCTGTGACACCAAGAGTTAAAAAGGGGGTCCAGTCTGGTACCAGCAAGGTGTACCTAATAAACTGGCAGTTGAGTGTATATGCCACAGTGCACAAGTGTGAGCATCTGCAGATAGATACAATCCGACTTGCAGCCCCTGGTTCAAATGTGAGATAGGCTGGAGAGGAAAGGGACCTGCTATATCTGCTGTATTTTAAATCGTGTTGAGATTAGACGTTCTGGTCCATTGCGATGCATCCATAAACACTTCATTATCGAACTGTTATCCTCTGAATCATAATCAAATCGTGAGGTGCCTGAACATTCCCAGTCGGACTAACACAATAAATCCATTTTCTGTAATGTCATGTAAACGTACTGAATGTTGTGCAAACTTTTAGAAACCCTGAGTGTTTATATATGTGTGACATGTAATGTAATGTTCGTGTGTGTGACGTCACGTCACCACAATATGAAGTGTGTGGGCCGAGCAGGACGGAGCAGGTGGGACCGGGGGGGAGACTTTCATGCCAGGGTGCAGTGGTGTGTGTGTGTGTGTGTGTGTGTGTGTGTGTGTGTGCACATTTGTGGAGCAATTGTTTGGCAGAGGCATTTCAGGCACATGGTTGGGCTGTGTGACAGACTCACAGTGAGCAGATAAAGACACAGAGAGAGTGAGAGAGAAAGGGGGAGGTCTTCCCAGTCAGTCTGAATCTCTCTCAGCCTACACAATCTCCCAACACAACCTCAGGCTCAGTGATGTTGAATATGCTGTGAGAGTGAGCTCTACCTTCCTTGCACGCTCTGCTTTCACCTGCTCGAGGACACACACAGCACACACACACTTGGTGAGTAGACCTCTGTATCACTGTTACTGTTTGCGTTAGCCTCTGCCACACTAATGGAGAACATCTATTTGAAGCTGAGGGCTGTCAGAGAGTAGATACTCCCATCAGATCAGAGATTACTATGTCCAGGGATTACTACTGCGTTGTCAACTACTCTGTGTGCATGCTTTCTACCATAAGTCAGTTATCCAGAGGTACCTTGTTGTCACAGGAGCTAAAATGAGCCACGAGGGTCTTTTGACTGTGTAAGCTTTTAATTCCTTTAAGCTGTCGGCCGCTTGTAGCCTCCCAGCGGGGGTCTGGCTTTAACTAACAAGACTTTTACTCACACAAGAACACACACACACACACACACACACACACACACACACACAAACAGCAGTTAAAGAGCCCACAAAGTCACCATATGACATCTATCATTTTCATGCTCTGTGGAAATGACACTCAGAGCACAAGAATGAACGTCTTTAAAGCTGACATGCTGTCAGGATGCTGAACGTTGCATATATTTGGGTGTAATCAGTGTCCACACATTGACGAGCACATACGTGCTGTTGTTGTGGGCTGCCTGCAGAAAACCAGTCACCTCATGTCCTTTCCTTCCCACTCATCCCAGTCATCTCAACAGCTCAGCACGTGGCAAAGCTGGGGTGGGAAGATGCTAATGAGGCAGGGAGCTCATTTTCACACATCTGTCTTCATGTGAGGAACATCCAGCATGAACCAAAGTTCTAGTGACTCATTATTTAATAAAGAAAGTGGGTGTTTTTGCTTCAGATATTTAGTAGCATAGGCTATTCCAGGACTCCCTTCTAGAGAAAGGAATAGGTAGACGTGTTGGGGAATATGCTTATTTGCTTTCTCTGTAAGCGACATGTTTGGAAAGATATCAGTCTCTGTTAAGGTGCAAACACACCAAACTGACATCAAAGAACTAGTGGCAACGAAAGCCAACTGTTGCGTCGTCTACGTCGCCTCACGTTGCCTCACGTCGTCTACGTCGCCTCACGTCGCCCTGTGTCAGTTGCATTTGAACACACTACACGGACTACATCCGACGGCCAAGTAGCACGTACGTTCTGCGCCTGCGTGAGAGAGAGCGGAGTGAGAGAGTGGTACATCCTGTCAGCTGAGGGGTTTCCTATCTGTGCAGCTCGGTGCTCTGGTTGGATCCAAACGGAGAGCCGGGGCTAGCTCAGAGACTAGCGGAGGCTAACTGGCTGTGCTTCCCTCCGGTCATGCTGCGGCTAACGCTCCGCTAGCCGCTCCCAGCTAGCTCCGGTTTGTTATTCAGGTTAAAGTGTGAAGAAGCAGCGGGTCTGTGGGGCAGCTGAGTGAAGTGGAGCCTGAGGAGGAAGCACCGGTTAGCCCCGGTTTCACTACAGGCAGATTCACTCGCTACAGGGGCGAGGAAATAAAACCTGAACAGCCAATCAGAGTGATCTCTCTCACCGACAAGCTCCGCCGCCGATTCAACATGCTCAATCGGCCGAAAAGCTGCCAACGCCGAAGTGCCGATGGTGCGGGACACACCGCAAAAACTAGGGCGACAGACGCTCACTGACGGCCCGACTTGGCGCGTCAGGGCCTTTAAATACAGAGTGAGGACGTGGGTAGCTTAGCTCATCATAAAGACAAGAAGCAGGAAGACACAGCTAGCTTGGCTCTATCCAGAGTTCAAAAATACCCATAGCAACACCTGTAAAGCTCAGTAGTGAAAATGTTGCATCTGTTTGTTAAATGTGTGCATAAACAGATATGTAAAAATGACAGTTGATGATTTTAAGGGGAGTTCAGTGCTGGAACTATTTCTTGGCGCCAGTATTTAGCACCTGCAGAGCCAGATCATTCTCTCAGGTGTGGGTCTGGACCAAAGCGGGGCTAAAAGGAGAGTGAATATTGGACATTCAGAAAGTGGCAACATGCACAACTTCAGACGTCACGTTGCTGTGTGTTTGCTGGATGTGTAAAAAGGCAACTGTTGGCTGACACATTACAAAGATGATAACAATAAAAGTCAGCTTATAGAGGTGGAAATATTTCAGAGAGAGGCCAGAAACACATGACGTGAGATGGACATCAGTCTGCTCATGTGACGCACTCAGAAAGTGAATATGCACATTTCCAAAAATCTGTCGAAATTATTGAGCAAATATAAAAAGTACAATAAGCTTGTGTTTGGAAAATGTTATTCTGGCTCATGAAGCGATGACTGACTCTGAAATGACTGAATTCTGGACACTTGAGGTTAGGAAGTTAGATGTGGTAATGCTGCTGATGTTTTCACCCCAGGATGGTAAAATAGAATCAGATATCCATTAGAAGTCGATAACTTTAAATGAAACACATCTGAGTGGTAATTAAAGGCCAACGTCACCTTGATAAATTGGTGTCTAGCAGACCATGCTGTGGGCTAGTGAAGGCATCTGCTGTTAGCTTGTGTGCTGCTAATCCATCAGAGATGAGATTAAGGAAGGAGGAGCAGGGATTAGAAGTCAGGAGGACCTTGGCTGAATGGCCAGACAGACACTGAGGTATTGGGGTCATGTCATTGGGACTGGAGTCTGGCATGGATCATGGACAGAGCTCTGAGAGAGAGACCTGAAGGGATTTTACACAAACTCTACGGGCAGAAGAAGATGCTACAGGACGACAGTGAATGAGGTAGCCTCCTAATGTAGAAGGTCCATTTTCCCCACTGTGGGGGTCAACTGTGGGTTACATTATTTTAACAGAAGATATGAAGAGCTGTTTTTCAGAATTTGATGTTTGGACGTGAATGGTACAAATACAAGACATCCAAACCTGCCGAGAGAGCCCTGCCCACCACAGCATAGGGCATTAACCAGAGAGAGCACAGAGACCAGAAATAACCCTGAAGGAGCAGGAAGGCTCAGCAGAGACTGGAGTTATCTGTCCATAGGGCTGTAAATCACCTGTTTCATCACAATACGATATCATATTGATTTCATATTTGCAGATATTCCAAAGTGCTGCCATGATACGACTTTGATTTGATGTGATTCAGAAGCCTGTGATCAATATGAGCCGATATTATCTGATCGTTTAACTCAGTCTGTTCCAGAAGAAGCTGCTGCAGCTTTATTTTTAAAAACATATATATATATATATATATAAACAACATAAACAATAAGTTCAGTAAAGTTAACTTTAATCTGACTCCACTAACACACAGGAAACAGCACATGGGATCAGTTAACCTTCAGGGCTTTCTGTCAGACAGACCTTTCTGTCAGAGACACCTTTCTGTCAGAGACACCTTTCTGTCAGAGACACCTTTCTGCAAGAAATCTTTTCATTTTAAGCCAAACCATCATCTTTTTATAGTCCTGAAGACAAACTTGTGTGTTAAAGTCCTGAAGACAAACTTGTGTGTTAAAGTCCTGAAGACAAACTTGTGTGTTAAAGTCCTGAAGACAAACTTGTGTCTTAAAGTCCTGAAGACAAACTTGTGTGTTAAAGTCCTGAAGACAAACTTGTGTGTTAAAGTCCTGAAGACAAACTTGTGTCTTAAAGTCCTGAAGACAAACTTGTGTCTTAAAGTCCTGGAGACAAAAAAGTCAGAGGTAATAATAAAAGCGTAACCCAAAGACGGTGACATGGGTCGATGTTTTCACTTGGCATTGTTGATCATTGAATCGATATATTGATCCAGACAGATGGATCGTCACACTCCTATCATGACCTGAACAATCCACCAACCTGAGCTTCATGAACGAGCCGCCAGAGTTCAGCTGAAGTCTCACGTGACCAGAGCACCTCCTTCCATATGTTTAGGAGGTCGACCACATGCCTTTTGGCAAACTCCAGATGTGTTCTCTTCTCTGGGATGTGTTCCTCTCGTCCTCTGGACAGATACTTTCCAGTTTCTTCAGGATTGTCTTCGGTCTTCATGGTGCTGCTTGCTTTTTGATACCCATGGCTTCGTGCTGCTGCAGACTCTGGGGCCTTTCAGAGCAGGTGTATATATACTGAAATCAGTATTTATTTTTTTGAAAAATTTAAACTTATCTTAATGTTTATTTTATTTCACCAGTTTTAACTATTTTCTTTAGATCCACTACAAAAAACCATTTAAATTACAGCTTGTGATGCAGCAAAATAGGAAAATACCAAGGGGGTGAATACTTTGGCAAGGCACTGCAGGTTTAGCTCATCCTGATGACATGACATTCTCATGGTCCTGAGACATTCACAGTATGCAGTCACTGTATCTAAGTGATGCATCACTCAGGGTGGTACAGAAAAATACACTCCATACAAAGTGGAGCATACTGAAGCCCCGCCTCCACCAAACAGTTTCAGTACAGCCAGCAGTAACCCTTCAGACAGCGTCTCCTGTCCTCTGTCAGATAGTCCCGCTCTAGTTTGGAGAACGTGAGACAGTGTCTCCTGTCCTCTGTCAGATAATGTCCCGCTCTAGTTCGGAGGATGTGAGACAGTGTCTCTGGATGGTGGCCTGTGAGGTGAGCCCTCATGTTGTGAGTATTTTATTGTCATATGACACTGCTGTAAATCACGTGTCATATTCAAGTCCTCCTTCTTTGTTAAAAAAAAATCCAAAATAAGTCCAGACGTTTGATTTAGACCTTGACGGCACTTTTCTGATTTCTTTCTCCGGTGTCTCCATCTTTGTTTTGATGAACTTCCTGCCAGATGCTGCTGACTGAGACCTCTGCTGATCTCAGCAGGCAGAAAACAATCAGCACCATCTAGTGGAGTGAAAAGCGATTTTTAATCTTCTAGTACCAAAAGTTTTATTAAGATGTGTATTAGCAAGAATTAATAATGATAATAATTTAAGTTTGATATGTGGCGCCTGTGTTTTGATAACATATGGCCACATCAACTGCTTCCATTACTCTCTGTTTGTACAGCGTAGTGCAACACCTCTGAGACTGTCCTCATCACATTCAGGCCTATTTTGGACTTTCCTCCCCGGTGTTCCTGCTTGATCTTGCAGAGCTTCCCCGCTTCTC